CAGCTGCCGCCGCTCCTTCTGCCTTTCTTCCTTTCTCTCTCTTTCTTCCCTTCCTTCCTTTTTCTCTCTTCTCTCTTTTTGCACTGCTTGGGATGAAACCCAGGGCCTCAAGAATGCTATCCACAAGCTCGCCGGAGCGGCAACCCCGGCGAGAGTTCCTATCACCGCGCGTGTCCAGCACTTAAGAGCGTGGATTCTACCCTGGCATGGGTAGTGCACGCCTGTAACGCACTTTGGGAGGCTGAGGCAGGAGAATCGCCATGAGCTTGAGGTCAGCCTGTATGCCACAGCGAGCCTGTGTCTCATTAAAAAAAAAAAAAAAAAAAAAAAAAAAGGCTCAGATCCTGGACCTGGTTTTGATCTCCTATCCAAGTACTAACCAGACCCGACCCTGCTTAACTTCTGAGATCAGACAAGATGGGGCGCGTTCAGGGTGGTGTGGCCGAAGACTGGAGTGGGTTTTGAATCCTAGATCTGTCACTTTGTAGTTTTGTGACTTCGGACGTGTTACTTAACCGACCTGGGACTGTTTCCATATCGGTGCAAAGCGACAGGTCCCCCTCACAGGGCTGGTGAGGATGTGACTCTGATACTGTTTGATGCCAGGCTAAAAAGTGGGCTAAACACCTTTGCTCTGTGCTCTTCACAGCTCCTTTCACAGTAATCCCAGCACTCGGGAGACTGAGGCAGGAGGATCACCATGAGCTCAAAGCCAGCCTGAACTACACAGTTAGACCCTGTCTCTAAAAACCCACAAAAACAGTAACAATGATGGTAATGATAGAAAAGAAGAACGCAATATTGCCGTGGTCAACGCCATGCCCGGCATCCATAAATGAGCACCACCACGGGAATTGCTTAGGGGTTGCAATCACAACACTAAATCACGGTGCCACGTAAATGGGGAAACCGAGGCTCTCGCCACTACCCTTGCACACACACACACACACACACACCCCTTCCCAGGCAGGGAAAAACGATGGCAGCTGTTTCCAAGGAAGCATTTATTGACGAGCAGGGCCCGAGCTAGAGGCTTTGGAGGCCCAGGGCCAGGCTGGCGAGGCAGAGACCGTTGCTCAGGACGCAGCCCAGGTTGCAGAGTGAGGAAAGGCCGTGGTAGTGGAAGAAGTTCTGGCGGAGAGCACTGTACTTGGGGTCCTTTTCCCGCAGCTGGCGGTAGGGGTCGGGCCCCTGGAGGCTGCCTGGCACCTCCCCACCCAGGCCTCGCTCCTTCTCCACGCTTTGCAGAGCCCACATGGCGGCCGTGGTTCGAGGCTCCAGCCAGCGGGCATTGATGATGGCCAGCACGAGGCTCAGGAGCAGGAGGCAGCACTATGGGGTGGTGGAGGGGAAATCAAGCTGGCCTTGAACTCACTGTGTAGCCCAGGCTGGCCTCGAACTTGCAGCCATCCTCCTGCCTCAGCCTCCCGAGTGCTGGGGTGACAGGTGTGCACCACCATGCCTGGCTGAAATATCTATCAGACCTCACTGCCCACATCTGAGGAATATAGGGGCCAGAGGGAGAGCAAGGTACAGAAATCCCAGACACAGCGATAGTTCCTTCCCTTGTGGCTGGGAAAACGTGAGGGTAGGGATAGGAAACCCTAAATTCCCAGTTAGGCTGGATTTTAAACAATGAGCTGGGGTCAGAGCCCCAGCATGGCTGAGTCACTACAGCCTGGCAGCAGGCCCAGCCATGGGGATGAGAGGGATTAGCTGCCAATGGAGAGATACTGGGGCTGGGCTGCTGGGGACAGTTGTACAGGCTGTGCACTGCTCAAGGATACCCAGTCCCCAGCTTTGTCTCCGCTAGGAAGAGGGGTGCTCTGGTTTTTTAGCACCCAGATATCACCAGTGGTGTTCACTGGGGTCTGGGGACCAAGAGCACTCCAGTTCGCATACCTGGCTGGTCTCCCAGAACGTAAGATGAACCCAGGCACGCTGAGAAGCCGCCACGCAGAGGTTGATAAAAGCACAGGCCACAGAGATGTGGAAGTAGAAAGGGAAGAGTTTGCTTTGCACTAGGCCGAAGGTGTGCCGGGGAAGGTTTCGGAAAAGCAGGAAGCCTGTGACACAGGGGACCATGTCACTGTTAGGACGCATCCAGCCCCTCCCATTTCTGCGCCCACCCCGGATGGCCAGGCGAGGGTCCCTACCTGAGGCGAAGGTCACCCACATTTGCATGCCCCAGGCACCCGACAGGACCAGCAGATGGACCACCTTCACCAGGCCTCCTGGGTCTCCGCCTTCCTCCATACTGAGCCCTGAGGGGGTGGGGACCAGGCAATCTGGGCTCTACCCTTTGCCCCCTGAGTCCGCCAGCTCAGGGACGGGGTCACGATCGATCTCGTAGAGACCTAGGAAAAGGCGCCCGAGGCTGGGAGTGGGAGACATCCCCGCCCCCAACCTGTCGGCGCCCAGGACCTCGAGTTCTCTGAACCCCAAAGTCCAAGCCGCCTCGGAGAACCCCAAATTTCAGTCCTAGCAGCTCGAATTCGCAGCCCTAGTGATCTTCAGAGACCTTTCACCCCTGATCCCCAAGTATAGCCCCAGGAATCCAACTCTAACGGCCGAGACCCCACATTACCACAAGACCGGTGAAGACCCCAAAATTCCCTCCAATCACGGGAAATCTGAATCTCATCTCTAGAACACCGAGCCCCCTTTGGGAACCCGGAACTCAATCCGGAGCACCCAGACTCGGTTACTACAGGTGCTGGGGTCAGACCTCAAGCCGGAGACGGGACGAGTCCCTCACCTCACTCCCGCGCTCGCGAGGGGACAGCGAGCCTCCGGGGCCTCACGTCTGGGGTACGCTCCAACCAATGGCTCGTCCCACCTCCCCCCAGGGGCTGGAGCTAATCGAATAGCAAATCTGCTGCCTCTTGTCCCGCCTTCTTAGATACTAACCAATAGACTAGCAGATTGCAGCATGAAATCCCGCCTCCTCATCAGATTTTATCCAATTAAACAGCCGCTACCAGGAACCAATGAGACCTTCTCATCCAGCAAGAGAGCGGGGCTAAAATGTCTGCCACACCCCCCTCTGTGACTGCTTTCAGTCTCTGCGCGTTTTAATGTGATGGTGTCCCAGCTGGATCAAATTTCATCGTCACAGGTGGGGACTCGCTTCGCGGTCCCGCATGGGAGAGCGAGAACAGGTGATATGTGGTAGGTGGGAGTAGAAGAGGGTTGGGAGTCTGGTGAGCCCCGGGTTCACGGCCCAGGGGCGGGGCTTAGTCTGATGACTCCGCCCCCTCCCGAAAGAATTCTCCCGGGAGAGGCAGCCCAAGCATCAATGGCCAGGAACTCAGGAGGCAGAGACAGGATACAGGCTTGGTGACCTGCCTGCGGTTGACATTCCAAAACGCTTCTTCCTTTTCCCTCTCCAAGCCTCTAAGTTGTCCCATGGTCCCCAGGCCCTCTGCGTGACACTCAAGAACAAACACTGCCAGGGTGTGATGATGCACGCCTACAATCCCAGCGCTCGGGAGGCTGAGGCAGGAGGATCGCTGTGAGTTCGAGGCCAGCCTGGGCTACATAAGAAGTTGAAGGCCAGCCTGAACTACATAGCGGGACCCGGTCTCAAAAACTAAACAAAACTGGGTGGAGGATTTAGCTCAGTGGGCTGCCTGCAGGCTGCCTCAAAAGCGCAAGTTCCTGGGTTCGATCTTTGGTACCAAAAAAAAGCCTAAACAAAACAAAACCTGAACAGCCCAATACTGTAACGCCGGGCTTGGTCACAGATTAATTAATCACAACAGAAGAGTAAGTAATCTGTACATCACAGGGTGGCTGTGAAGACCCACACTCAGAAAATATGAGCCTTACAAAGGATTAAGACAGCACTTGGGCCGGGGATTTACCTCAGTGGTTCCACCCTCTGCTTTGCAAGGCAAGGTCCCAAGTTTGATCTCTGGTTAAAAAACAACAACAAACAAACAAACAAACAAGTGACATTAAAAGCCGGGCATGGTGGCGCATGCCTGTAATCCCAGCACTTGCGAGGCTGAGTCAGGAGGATCGCTGCGAGTTCGAAACCAGCCTGGGCTACATAGTGAGTTCCAGGTCAGTCTCTACTACATAGTGAGACCCTGTCTCGACCCCCCCCACCAAGACAGCACTTGGGAGGCTGAGGCAGGAGTGTCACCTGGAGTTCAAGGTCAGCCCGGACTACACAGCGAGATCCTGTCTCAAAAAAAATTTTTTTTTACAGAGAACATGCTGGGTAGGTCTTTGAAGAGTGTATAAGAGTCTTCTAGGGAGACCGAGTCAGGGGAAGGACACCCAATTGGGGGCCCAGCAATAGCAACAGAAAAGTATAGAAGGTTTGGAGGAGCTGGATGAGTGTGACCCAGTGCAAAGGTCCCTTCACCTGGAAGATTTTCCTAACCTGCCCTGAGACAAGATCTTACTAACTTGCCCAGACTGGCCTCAAACTTGCGATCCTCCTGCCTCAGCCTCCCAGAGTATTCTGCAAGAGCCTCCTTTATTTCTGTGGTAGCTTCTCGCTCCTTCTCACTGCCCAACTCAACCTGGGGGTCTGGTGTCACCCTCCACCCAGCCTCAGCTCCTCCCACCACGGAAAAGCCCAGCGGTCAAGACGGAGGCCTTCGGGGAGAATCTGGGGGTGCTGGCACAAGGGGCTGGCCTCAAAGCAGCCCCCGCCTGCCCTCTTCACAGCGACCCCCTTCTGGCCGGCCTGCCCCAGGACCCTTGTTGCTCGAGGCCCTGTCACTCCTTCCCTCCTTTGCCCTGCAGCGAGTGCTTGGCAGATAACAGCAGGACGTGTGACAAGTACCGGGGTCCGCCACGGGCCCCCCTGGGGCTGGCGGGCTGGGATGCAGGACCTGCTCTAGGCTGTCCCTCACCCCTAGGGTCTCCCTCAGACAAGGCTTTGGGCAGCACGACTCACTGGACCAGGACCCCAGAGCCCGAGACCGCGGCAGCCCCCGCTTCGGAGCGCAGTGTGAGCGGCCGGGACTGGAAGCCCGAGCCGGGCTCTGGGCTGCGGGTGCACGCGGCTGACTCCTTTGCTGACCCGGACCTGCAGAAGGGGCCCTATCAGGACCAAGACCTCCTGAAGTAGGACTGCGACACGGCCAAGGTCACCTCCACCCTGGAAACCCCTTCAGTGCAGAAACCACTGCTATCATCATTGAGGGGCTTAGGGAGGGTACAGCCGGATGGGTCGCCGGCCAAGCGGGGGCGCACCGTGTGTCTTCAGTACCTAGAACAGCGCCCTGCGGGCTGTCCCCTGCGGAAGGGAAGGTTGGAAGAAATGAGCAGTTGTGCCTTGTTTTGAGGCAGCGTCTGGCCCAGGCTGGCCTTGAGCTTGCAGTGATCCTCCTGCCTCAGCCTCCTGCGTGCTGGGACTGCAGGTGTGGGCCACTGCGCACTGTTTCCGTGGGTCCTGTCCATGATGGCCTCCGGGTGTGACTCGGCTGTGTGCACACGTCTGTGCTTGTGTCTGAGGTGTGTGTGGCCCTCTGGGTTAGTGTGCGTGGCTGTTTCTTTGTGGCTGCGGTTCCACGTTTCAGCCAGTGTGGGCCCAGAGCTATTAGCGCCCATGGCTAAAGACATGGTTGATATCGTTTGTCCCTAAAGCCAGAGACAGGGCTGGCACCTGCCCTCGGGGGCCAACCCACAAGCCATGATCACGGGGCGTGGACCGAAATGCACTTCTGAGCATGCACAGGTCACTTGGGTGTGAGGTGCATGAATGGACCCCGGGGCAGCCTCGCCGGCACCCACGGCTCGGGCCGCGCCAAACTCGGGAGGCCCAACTTCTGTCCAGTCCTCTGGTCTGGGACGCGGTGAGCATCGCAGGGGCAAACTTCTACTCCCCTCTTGACCCCCTCCCTAGAAACCCTCGGAGGCCAGCTGTTCCAGGGCCAAAGGTAGGGAGGCTGATGGGGCTGCAGGGGGATGGATGCGAGTTCCCACCTCGGCCCTGCACCCCGGCCTCGATGACCCCCTCGTTGTCCCCTTGTCCCTGTGGTGCTCGCTGGGGCCTCTCTGAGCTCTGCTGACCTCCTCCCTGGGTCACCAGGACCTCCGCCCTCAGGCAAGGCCACCAGGATGATTCCAGACTCCCAGAAGCTCCTGTGGGGTGAACTAGAGTCACTCAAGAGCCAGCTACAAGCTCAGACCAAGGTAAAGCCGCCTGCTTCTCCCCAGCAGCCTCTGCCCCGGCTCCCTTCTCCTCCTCCTTCCCTGCCCAGGCCTGACCTCTTTCACGCAGGCCTTCGAATTCCTGAACCACTCGGTGACCATGTTGGAGAAGGAGAGCTGCCTGCAGCAGATCAAGATCCAGCAGCTTGAAGGTGAGGGCTGGGCGGGTGGAGGTCAAGGTCAGGCTGGAGGCTGTTGCTGCCAAGGTCATCAGTTTCAGGCCAGGCTCAGAGTTGAGGGAGTCTGAAGTCAAGGTCAAGATCAGGCCACGGTCGGGGCAAGCTGAATTCAAAGCTGCCTCAGGGAGCCAAGTATGGTGTTGCAAGTCTGTGATTCCAGCACTCAGGAGGCTGAGGCAGGAGGATCCTCCGAGAGTTTGAGGTCAGCCTGGGCTGCACAGTGAGTTCAAGGCCAGCCTGGACTTCAAAGCGAGACCTTGTCTCAAAAAAAACAAAAACAAAAAAGTTGCCCCCGGGTTCCATGAGGTCCCCTCTTCTCTTCAGAGGTGCTCAGCCCCAAGGGCCGCCAGGATCAGCAGGAGCTGTATGGGGCCCTGGCCCAGGGCTTGCGGGGACTGCAGAGGACCCTGCGTGCCAGCGAGGAGCTGCAGTGGTCCCGCACGACTCGCTGCCTGCAGCTGCTGGCCCAGGAGATCCGGGACAGGTGGGTGCTGGCGGGAGGCCAGGGCGGAGGCCAGGAGAGGGACGTGGAGAGGTCCGGGTCAGGGCTACTGTGGGGGATGTGGAGGGCTTGGGGGACAGCAGGAAGGGGTGGGAGGCCCGGGGGAGTCGGGCAGCTGTGGAGAGGGTGTGGGGGAACCGGAGGACAGAA